ATTGTTTACAACACTTTCTAAGTTTAACTCTTTTTGTCTAATTGCATATGACACAAAGAAGGAAGCTAATTCCCAAAGTACAGCTGCCTGGTACAATCACTATGTTAAACTGTACTATTTAACAAGATTAATGACTTTTTCCTAGAATCACAGAGGCGGTCTCCAGTGCTCATGTTGGTATATCAATTAGTAGTCTTCTCACTTCATTAGAAATCCTTGGTGGAAGACTATAGAGTTCTTCAATATTCATTTATTGAATGTGCTGTGGTGGGGCATTTTTTAGGGGTATGGGTTGGACCAGATGTCTATTGAAATCCCTCGTAACTTCAAAAGTCTGTGATTTTGAATTCACACTTTCCCCAGACTTTCCCCACTTTTCTCAGACCTCCTATTTGGAAAGTATTCACATCACTATGCATTTCACAAACTGTATACAAGTGACATGCCAAGATGGGATAAGGGAATACCTACAGGGCCTTTAATAAAAACAAAACAAAGAAAAAACACGTTTTTCTTTGAAGAATCACTTATTAACAACACTTTTTCTATCTATGCCTACCATCTAGATATATGTATACATGGAAATTGTATAAGGGTTCACATTGGTATGCTTTAGGTATCCAGCTACCACTGCCATCAAGATGGAGTTGTGTTAGGAGAACAAACTGAGAATGTGTCACCATGTAGAGCCAAGAAAAGTGAATAGTGGCATGGGGAAAAAATGCTGCTTATCTGAGCAAACCGACCAAAATCACACAAAGCGCATCTCTGGAATTATTCATGCCAACTCAAAACCTACACTTGTCTTGTCTCCCTCTACTTCCTTTTCCCCTGCCAGTTTTCAGATGAGGTTGGTATTGCCTTATTATCAGTCTTAATGAACTGACCATTCACAGAATCATAGGACCTGAGAAATGGAAGGGGCCTCAGTGGTGATCTGATCCAATCAATACTGGAAAGGAACTCACATGTTAATAACACACCTGACAAGTGATCATCTTGCCTCTATTGAAATACCTTTCAGAAGCGAGAACCTACCACCTCTCCATTCAGCTCATTCACTTTGTGATAATCCTTTCCCATTTCATGTTGTTAATAAAGGTACATTATAATGTTTTTTAAAAATCCCAACCTAGTCTGTTTCTTGTACTTCTGAATGTCATGTGTACCACAGTGTTTCTGAATTTGTTTTTGCATATCTATGAGATAAGAATATAAAGCTTAACCTGTTAGCATAGAAATAGTGAAACCAACCCTGTGTGTGGGGGTGGGGAGAAAATCATTGATAAGAATCAATATATTAAAAAAATCACTCATGTAAATAACCTTGATGTAGCTGATAAGATAAAAAATAAAATGTCGGCATTATTTAGCAATGATGCAACCTGTCAATATCTCTGAGAAAGAACATTAACTTCAGAAAATTAGACAGTTAACATTCTGGGCTTTGACTATTCATACTTTCTTCTTCCACTGCATTGCCAATATCTCTTTTTAAAAGAAGCGCTGTAATGAGGATTGGTACTTCAACAACAGGCTTTCTGCACAAAACTGGCCAGATATCACTCTGGTCCCACACAGACAGTGGACCTTTCTTCCATACCTCATCACTACTCCACCTGTTGGGGAAGGATGGACGGAGTTTTTTGATGCACACAATCTCCCTCATATCTTCATAGGAGGGGTCACTGGGTACCAGGTCATGGTAGGGAAGCTGGTATTCTTCTACTATTCCTGGAAAAAAAAATTGTTTTGTTCAGTTACATACTTCTGAAATGAAGGGGAGGAAAAGAGCTAAAGTCTTATCAAATTGTAACTATCAATATTAACTACATACTTTGGTACATATTTTTCTTGGATGGGGGGCAGACAGATCTGTAATTTTGACCTTATTGATGCAGGGAATTCAGGGTGAGGAAATCCCATCTACCCAATCAGTTTTACAAAGTCTTAGAAAGTCGGCTGGCTCGCTGAGAGTTTAAATGACCTGCCTAGGAGCATAAAGCCAGTACATGTCAGAGGCTGTTCTTGAACCCATGTCTTTGTGACTCAAGACAAGCTTGTTATTCACTATGCTGAGCCGTCCAGTACTAATCTGGTGAGGCAAAACAAAGACCAACAGGCATGAATCCAAGTGATGTCATTCTTTCCTATTAAAAATAAATAGGGGCAGCTAGGTGGCACAGGGGATAGAGCACCAGCCCTGGATTCAGGAGGACCTGAGTTCAAATCTGGCCTCAGACACATAACGCTTACTCGCTGAGTGACCCTGGGCAAGTCACTTAACCCCATTGCCTAGCCAAAAGAAAGAAAAACAAATAAATAAATAAAGCATTCTTTAGAACCTTCAAAAAGGAAAATAGTGTTTCAAAAGAAACATCATTATACATCATTAGTCCTTTTCTAATGCTTCAGTCTAATGATGAAATTAATTTTGAAATTATTATTTTATAAAATGTGCTGCACTGCAGTAGCCATAAAGTTCAAAATTGCTTTCATATTCATCCAAAATTTAGTAGACATTACTGCTGGACATTCAATGATAGCATAGAGACCCTGGTATTAAGACCCTCTAGTATTAATCAAATGGAAGGGAAAAGTCACGTTCATAAGATATGAGACACAAGGGTAAGTGAGATGAAGGCTAGCCCAAGGAAAGGGGTTTTGAGAAATCTAAGGACAGAAATGATCACTTTCTGCTAGGGGTGGAGTGAGAAGTCAGGAAAGGTTTCATAGAACAAATGCCACCTAAGCTGAGCTTTGAAAGAAGAAAGAGATTTCACCATAACTGCAAAAGTGGGTTTGGGAAGAAGACCATTCCAGGAATGGGCAGTGCTGTCAAAAAATGTCAAAAGACAAGAGATCAGCACGAGAAAAAGGAACAGGTAGCAGAGTTTTGCTGGAACTCTATTAAGTCTCTAGAACGGGGGTGGGGAACCTGTGGCTTATAAGTCCCATGTGGTCCCCTAGGTCCTCGTTCCCTACCCCTGCTCTAAGGTTACTGAATGAATATCTGCAAGATGGGAGCTTAATGAAGCCCTGTTTACAATGACCAAAATTTATTTAATAAATTCCAAACTTGTAAAAAATATGATGCTATTATAACCATAGGAGTTAGGATTTCACGCCACTTTAGAAAGCAGTCAATTTGGGGAAAGAACAGATTCTCCTCGTTGTAAAAATAAGGTGAGGTTAAAAACCAGCAGTTTGGAGAGATCTCAGATGTGCACAGGATGATGGTACACGCTACAGGGACCTCTCTTTCTCATTTGTTTTCCGACTCTACAATGCTTAGCAAGAGCACGTGGCCTGCTCTCTGCTCCATAGCATTCTTGGAGTAGATCCTTGACATAACCATAGCAAATTCTGCTCCTTTCACAATGCTTTCTATTAATACAGAAAATATACAGAAAATCTTGGGGAATCCTTACTCACTATTGCTGTATCTTTGAAGTAAACATCGCTTCGTAAAAGTTAATTGATATTAACTGGACAAATGAAACTAGACTAATAATCACTGGTGATTAACAGTGAGAACACACCAGAATGGGATTGAGCCAATGGCTTTAGAAAATCATCTCTAAACCCTGAAGGGGACCCATACAATGGTAGAGGGAGATGTAGCCTTGCTCAGCATCAGACTCATGTTTAAGAGTAAGTGTTATAACAAAGATTCTTAGAGCTTATTAAACCCTGTGTAGGCATGCTCATTTAAATTTTTTTAGGAAATTATGAGAGTCTGTTGTTCTGCCTATTCTATTTTCTCATTGTTCAAATTTTTGGCCCATTTAATGGGTCAGGTTGGAATTACTTTAATCACCTACTTTTGTTGTTGTTGTTTTTTGTTGTTTTGTTTTGTTTTGTTTTTTGGCAATTGGGGTTAAGTGACTTGCGCAGGGTCACACAGCTAGTAAGTGTCAAGTGTTTGGTCTGAGGCTGGATTTGAACTCAAGGTCCTCATGACTTTAGGGCCGGTGCTCTATCCATTGCACCACCTAGCTGCCCCATCGCCTACTTTTTACTCATCTAATTTAATACTGTTTTGATATTTGTTCTAATAAGTTAATGATCTGATTGCACAAAGAGGACCAATTTAAAAATTACAAGTCATTTTCTCTTTAAGATATAGCAAATTATTTTTGGTGTGATGCTCCTTGGTGTGTGCCTTTTTCAACACTGCTGATACAAGTAACAACACACAATCCTTCATGAAGCACCACTACATTATGGGTAGAGAGCTGGAGTTGTTTTTGGAGTCCGGAAGACCTGGGTTCAAGTTAACCCTCCCACGCATACTACATGACCCCAGGCAAGACACTTAACTTCTAGGCGTCCCCAGACACTCTAAGATTGGGAACTAGTTGATTATCTGCAAAGACAGGGGGAACCTCTCCAACGAAGAGTTTCTTATATCAAATAAACTACAGGTCTCAAGGGGAAAATTAAGTAACAACTCAATTTATGCAGCCCTTTAAACTTTACCAAGCACTCCCTGTATTAACCTTGGAAAGCAGATGAGGAAAGTGCTAATGCTTTGTTGAAATTTGGTTTCATCAGTGTGGCATTCCTTCCAGTGATGCAGACTGATACTCATCTATGCTTGTGCATCCTACTTTTATCTGCATTCTCCCATTAACCTGCTACAAACTTACCACTCAATTTCCTGGATGCCTTCTCCCTGCTCCTTTGACACTGTGTTGACAGTAGTACATCACATAAGCCATCCATTAGTTAGCACCTCCCCTTTTCCCCCCATCCCCTGGTCCTGTATGTCTCTGAAATCATTTGTGTTTCTTCTTCCAGGCAATTCTTCACCTGTAACATATTATAGCCAGCTTACTCCCATCCCTTGCCTTCATTAATATGTCAGGGAAACATACTTAGAAGAATGAAGCAACTTTTCCCAGGTCACAGAGCAAAGAAATGGCTGAGACAAAATTTGAGCCACGCCTTCTAAAGCGTGTCTTGTTATATTACTATTACTCCTAGAAGGTTGTGTATTATTGAATTCACTAGGTCCAGTATCCTTATTTTATCAAAATATAACCTTGTTTTAACAAAAACCCTGGCTATATGCTCCTCTCTCCTCTCTGTCTAACCAAAGGATATCTTAAGAACGAGGTCACAGGCTACCCCTTCTAGGAAGCCTTCCCTTACTGGGCCAACCCACTTAGCTCTTTATCTCTTCTCAAAGCCTTTCATATTTTTAGAATATATCAGTGTCATGTGCACACGTGTATCTCATCACCTCAATTAGATTTAAAAAAAAGTACCTGAAGATAAAGACTTTGCATCCCTCTCATTTTCTCTGGGAGTAACACAGTGTCTGGTAAGAAACAGACACTTAACAAACTGACTGCTTGTTAATGACTGACTGACTGACTGACTGACTGACTGAATGAATGAATGAATGAATGAAATAAAGACAGGGAGAGGCAGAGCTGATCTTTGGCAAAATTGCAGCCAGTGAATTATCCTTCTCTGACCTTTCACCCACCATCTCTGTCTCTTTGCCTCTCTTAGGTGGTTGCTGATTCCAAAGTAGGCTTTTGTGATGCAAATGTAGCACAGTAATCAGACTTGGGCCCCTATACATTACATTCTTCTGATAGCTCTGACTATTATGGAACTTTGAGGATGAAACAGGTAGAGAGTCCTGAGGAATGGCGTGATTATATATGCTTTTGAAAAACACAAAATGAAAGGAAAAGTAATCAGTCAGTTTTATACCTTAGCTCTTTCTTGAAGATTGAATGCTTGTTCAGTATCTGGTCGGGGAACAATGCCTGCACTAACTTTCTGCTTATACATTATACTGTACCTACTTCAAGAGAAAAATTTTCTACTCTCAAAGAGCTCATTAAAATTAATTTCCCAGTGCAATTATGAGGCACCATGACTTTAAATGCACCACTCCAAGGTAGTCCAAATCTTTGTAATGACGTTAAACTATTGTATTAACCCGAACAGAGGAAAGGACACAACCAACCAAAATGAAAGTATCCAATGCTTAAATATCATGCGTTGGTATCTCTGAGAAGAAAACCAGTCCCTCAGAAGATAAGCTATGAACAAGCAGTTTTCAGAAAAAGAAATGTAAATGGATTATCAATCATATTTTAAAAAATGCTCCAATAACTAATAATCGGAGAAATGCAAATTAAAACCCATGCTGCACCTCACACCATGAAAACTGGCAAAGATGATATGGAACTAATGCTGGAGGGGCCGTGGAAAGATAAGTATAGTAGATCTGTGAATTGATCTAACCATTCTGCGTAGCAATTTGAAACCATGCAAGAAAAGTCAATATATTGCTCATATCTTTTGATTTAGCAGTACTGCTTTTGAGAGATCAAAGATAGAGAGAAAGGTTATACATATGTTAAAACTATTTTAGCAATGTTATTGATGGTGGCAAAAAAAATGGAAATAAATTCAATACATATCAATTACGGAATGGCTAAAAAATTTGTAAAATGGAGTATCGAAATATTGTACTGCAATAAATGATGAATTTGAAGAATTTGGAGAAACAGCATAAGATTTACGCAGAGTGAAGAAAGCAGAACCAGAAAGAGGTCACTGAATGCAATCACCACTAAAATATTTCAGAACCCTGTTCCAAAATGAGCAATCTTGACTCTAAAAGATTATTTGCTCCAGAGGGAAAGAGAACTTTGAGGGGCAGAATGAGGGACATAAAATATGGTAAGTATATCAGTTTGTTTTGC